AATTGCTCTTCACGTTCTGGCTTTGCGCTTTGATTTTGGAAAGGACTCTGTGATGAAGAAAAGGCAACTCCAATTGCACACAGAGTATCCCTTTGATTCTGCAATCAAGAAGATGACCGTTGTCTACGACAATCCACGGGACAGGATCAAAGAAGTGTACACCAAGGGTGCCCCGGAGACCGTTATTCCTCACCTCACTATTGCTGAAACAGAAAAGCAAACTATACGAGACACGGCCGATCGGATGGCGGGCGAAGGACTTCGCGTTCTATGCGTCGCATATAAGACAACGCCAGCCGACGATGAATCCCAAATATCCCCGCGAAGCTCTGCTGAATCAAGTTTGCAATTCGGGGGTCTTGTAGGGCTCTACGATCCCCCTCGAGTCGAAACAGCCGCAGCCGTACGCAAGTGCCAAATGGCAGGGATCACAGTGCACATGCTCACTGGTGACCACATCAAGACAGCGACAGCGATTGCGTCGGAAGTCGGTATCCTTGACCGTGTCGCAGCAGTTGTCAAATCCGGAAGACTGGTAATGGCTGCGGATGAATTCGACAAGTTGACCGATGCGGAAATTGACGCGATTGAGGAACTGCCTCTTGTCATCGCACGCTGCAGCCCTGCTACCAAGGTCCGGATGGTAGATGCGATGCATCGCCGTCAGGCATTTTGTGTTATGACGGGAGATGGTGTCAACGATTCGCCTGCTCTTAAAAGGGCTGATGTTGGTATTGCTATGGGCAAAAATGGTAGTGATGTTGCCAAGGAGGCTGCCGATATGGTGTTGACGGATGACAACTTCTCTTCTATTGTCAAGGCAGTTGAAGAGGGTCGACGACTTTTTGATAACATTCAGAAGGTAACTATCTCCCCTCAATATTTAATTTAGTTTACTGACATCAACTTTAGTTCCTCATGCACCTGCTCATTTCAAACATCGCACAAGTCATCCTCCTACTGATCGCTCTTGCCTTTAAAGATGAGGAGGTGACTCAGTCTTCCCTCTGTCTCCACTGGAGATCTTATGGGCGAATCTCGTCACGTCTTCATTCTTAGCCGTCGGTCTTGGACTCGAAGAGGCCCAGCCAGATATCATGTATAGACCACCACACGACCTACGCATAGGCGTTTTTACCCGTGAGCTCATTGTGGATAAAATGATCTACGGAACCTTCATGGGCACGCTTTGCCTCGTGTCATTCGTCTGCGTGATATACGCCGCCGGATCGGGGACGTCTTCTTTAGGCGATGGATGTAATGAGGAATACAACCCAAGCTGCGACGCAGTCTTCCGCGCTCGCGCCACAACATACGCAACACTCACATTCCTCCTCCTTGTTACAGCGTGGGAAGTGAAGCACTTTTCACGTTCCCTATTCAACATGGATCCGATCCGAAACTCCAAGACTTTCTCGGTTTTCTCCACCATCTGGAAAAACCGCTTCCTCTTCTGGGCGGTCATGGCTGGCTTTGTCATTGCTTTCCCCGTCATTTATCTTCCAGTTGTTAACCAACTAGTCTTCAAACATCATGCTATCACCTGGGAATGGGGAGTGGTTCTTGGTTGTACATGTGTCTACCTGTTGTGTGTTGAGAGCTGGAAGGCTGTGAAGCGGTCGTTGGGCATCGGGAGCGGAAAGAATGCAACTCTTACTCTGGAAGATGCTGAGACGCGGGCGGGACTGGCTACTCTTACGCCTCTATCGATGAGTGCGAATGCGAGCGTGGAACTGAAGTGATTTGGAATATGGGTCTGATTGGTTCAACATCAAGTCGGCCTTGAATTGCTGCCTCCGAGGCGTTCAACACGCTTCTATTTATTCATTTTCTCTTCTATAGTTATGTTCCCAGAATGAAATCATTGGCTTTTGATATATCTTCAACTAGCATGGACTTTCCTCGGGGGTAAGATGATCATGATCGATTCAAACAATATTATATCCCAAAGAAATGGAGAAGACTGGGGAACCTATTCGGTTAAATGCAAGGACATCTAAGTATAATCAAGGCTGTGCCCAGACAGCCCTGGAGTGCGTGCCCTTTTCTAGCGGTCTTTCCATTGATTTTATGAACTTGTTTGCCCACGAACCCCCGCTCGATCCACCAAGAACGACACCAAATCAGCTCTAAGTATCGGATAATGCCATGTATGCGGTTCTCCATTTGTCGATGGATGCTTCCCCCAACAGAGACTAAACCTAATGCGAACAGACGATCGATCTAATTGGCCATCGCCATGACCTCGGGGAGCTTCTCCAGTGCCGAGGTCTCCGCGCCAGCCCGGGAGTCCAGTTTAAAACCCAGTGTGAAGACCGTTATGAAGAATTTACTCAAAGTTAAATGAGCAGTTTTGATATGCTTTGATATGCTTCCCTGGCGTGTTTGAAGAAACGTTCGATTGACGATGGTCGCAATTGGTTTGGAACTAGTCTAGGCTGACAAGGCAACAGTTAGGTGGAAGTGGGATTTGATGCGAGGAGGTGAGGGCCCCCCCTGCACGAAAAGCAGGAGGATGGCTCGATTGGTAATCCGGTTTGAGATGGATAACGACCTAGAAAGAAGGGGCAGGTGACAAGAAATCCTGTTTTATGGAGATTCTACATTGGTAATGTCAATGCCAACTAATGGGAAATATATGACTTGGGATAAGTGCAGATAAAACTCGGTAGTTCAAGAAAGTGGGAATAAAAATGATGGCTATGGTACTTTAAATCATCCAGTAGACAGGCAGTAGTGTCTTATTTAGGGGGTCTCGGAAACATTGTAGACCAGCTTCGCGCCGCTGACCTTATCCTCCTTGAGCAACTTCAGCCCCTCGATCACACCCTTCAATCCATGCTCGCCAACCTTAGGGGGGTGAACCTTGACCTTTCCTTGGGCGAGCAGACTCTCGGCAATGGGAATGAACTTCTCAGCGAAAGCCTTGTCCTCCGGCTTGGCGGGGAAGGGAACATCTCCGAAGGAGAACGCCTCGCCGATGGCGGTATAACCCAGGGTGAAGCGGCTATTGACATTGGCACGGTCAATTTTGACGTTCAACAGAGCGCTATACTCGCCGCCATCGGTGGAGATAGCATTATCGCAGAAGGCAGCGCTGGCATCCAGCGAGATACAGTCGAATACGAGCTTTAGGTTGTTATCAGTGGCATTGCGAATTTTAGCAGGGGCCTGGGCGTCCTTGTAGTCATAGACCTCATCGGCGCCAAGGCTGCGGACCAAATCGAAGTTATGCGGTGAGCAAGTAGTCAGGACCTTGTAGCCGGACAGCTTGGCGAATTGGATGGCCAGCGTGCCGGTCGCGGTGGAACCGCCGTAAATCAGAATCGGAGTCGCGTCCTTGATGGGTTCGGTGGGCAGTGCAAGCTTCAGACTCTGGTACAGACCCTGGCCCACGGTGTTGATGCCCACTCCGAGGGTGGCGGCCTCTTGGAAGCTCATGTTTTCGGGTATCTTCCACTGCACGTCACCCTTCACCACGATGTATTCGGCGAAAGTGCCGTCCTCGGGCTGCACTGCATTGGAGCCGTGTGCGAATCCACATACGCGGTCACCCTTGTTGAATTGCTTCTTGACATCCTTGCCGACGGCCTCGACAATGCCTGAGTAGTCGCATCCGACGAGAACACCAGGAGGGGCAAGGTAAGCAATGTGCTTCCAGTCAGTGGGGTTCAACCCCACACTGACGGTCTTGACGAGAAGATAGTCGTCGCGAAGCTTGGGGATGGGTCGGTCGGTGACCAAGCTTTCAGTCTTGGGCTGGGTGATGGTGACTGCCTTCATGATGGATAGTATGATGTGGATATAGGAGAAGGGAATTGAGAAGGGAAATTTGGAGATTATCGAGTATTAAATAGTTCAAATAGTTCCAAGGTTCCAAGGCTGATAGTTGTTGATTACAAATTGGAAGTATGACGAAACCGCTCCACCTGATATCCACCCGACATCCACTTCTCTGGGATCGTCTCAAATATTGCACCGACTCCGTCTTAATCTCTCCGTCTTTATGCGTGAAGAGCGTTGCCCCTGGAAGCAGTTTGATTTATATTTGTGCACATCAATGCGCTACACAGCCTTTATCACGGGGAAACCCCAAAACCCGTGACATTGGGCATCTTTCGATTCACTTTGAGGAATAGGCCCCAGTCGATACTCCATCTACGCATTCTAGGCTTGATTTAGTCTTTTGACCGATTTTCAATGTTGTGCATCATGTTATCATTGGCATAAACACGAGTGATACAGCCGAGACTTTGATGCATTCAAAGTATCCATATTGTGTCAACCATTCAACTGAAACGAAGGACTCTCGTGGCTTTGGTCACAGATTTATGGAAAAGACATGACAGCATATCTTCCATACCGCATCCCGAGGTCTATTCCTCACAGACGAATGGTCAACTTTCCAAAACTAACATTTGCGCCCGCAATGGCACATTCAATGAGCTTTCCTGTCACCATTGGTCAATATATAAGTAATACAATTCAGAAATCAGGTGCCAGAAAGACTGGAAATATGGTCAGAGGAGACTGATATCATCTCTCAACTACCATATATACCAGGCTTGGTATACGGAGAAGACCGGCAGATAAACTACTACCAACCTTGGAATTCACGGAGGCTACAAGATCTTTCAATCTACTCTTCAATACTCCTATTATGTTTCTTTCCAGTGCGCAATAACGTCCGACATGCCAGTATATGAGTGTTTGAGGTAATGAGGTTCTCCGCCTAGCCGGTGCAAGGGATATCAGCCAAGACTGGGAGCAAAACCAGGGTTCACACAATTTAAGAACAGTTGTCAGACCTATATCTTGTTATTCGAGTCCAAACCAACGGACTTAACCTCACTTGATCTCTGTTCAAAAGTCGTCCTGAATCGGCATATCGGATATCGCGGGGTCAAGTCGGTTAGTGCTTATCCGCATACACAACCCCTCCCAAGTCGAATTCCTTCCGAACTCATACTTTGACTCCAACCAGCATAAACCGATCAGCCATGAAGAAGGTTCTTTGTCTCCACGGCAAGGGGACCAGTGGCAGTATCTTCCGCTCCCAGATTTGTTAGCCACCCCGCAGTCCGCAGGTCTCTCCAGTCAACTAATCTCCACACCCCAGCCTCATTCCGCGCCAAACTTCCCGACGACATACAATTTGATTTTATCGACGGCCCATTTAAAAGCGACGCCGCCGCAGGCATAGATATCTTCTACAGCCCGCCGTACTACTCCTTCTGGGAAAATGATAGCGTCGACTCCATCCGAGCCACGTACGACTGGCTAACTGACCATATTGCCAAAAACGGCCCATACGATATCGCGCTCATGTTTTCACAAGGCTGCGTCCTGGGCTCTAGTGCTCTCCTCTTCCATCAGGAAGAGACACCCCATCTCCCGCCACCGTTCAAAGCGGCGATTTTCGTCTGCGGCGGCGCCTCGTTGGGTGTTCTTGAGGAAATGGGCTTCCATGTTTCTGCCGAGGCGCGCGAGCGTGATCGTGCATCCCGGTCTGCACTAGCTCAACAAGCTACCTCGTCGGCGCTCCTGGCCCACGGTGCGGATCGGTGGACTGGTCTCAAGACTCTAGATAGCGGGCTCTCCGAGGACGAATTGCGGAAAGAGATTACTAGCCCCTACCGTATTAATGTTCCGACGGTACATATTTACGGCTCGAAAGATCCTCGGTGGGCGGCCGGTGTGCACCTCTCCGGTATCTGTGAACCATCGAAACGGCGCACCTATGATCATGGCGGTGGGCATGAAATTCCTCGAACGGCTGCCGTGAGCAACTCGATTGCGGAGCTTTTCCAGTGGGCTATTGCACAGAGTGGTTCAACTTGAACACTGATGGTTTAGTTCATATCGTCATGTCCTCCTCACATGTTTTCTTAATTTTTGTTTCCCTTTCGGTACTTGGGATAGATATATACAACATACACGGAGTGGAAATGCGAAGTTCGGGCCCTGCAAATGTATTCAATAGATGCACGACCTTCTGGTTAGGATCTGAAGAACCTGAGTTATCCCCATGGAGAGCAGCAATAAGTCTGTCTTCCAAACATTCATCGGGAAAAATATTCCGTACCCGTCTAATCTGTAACGTATATAATCCGAAACGCCAGGCGGCAAGGCCCGGACAAGACCCGATATTTGATCCACTCCCAGCCTTGGTATTCACGCCTTATGAGCCCTGTACTTTGTACTCTGCATTATATTCAGCATTCGCTACAGCAAAAGCAGTTTATAACGAATCTGCATATACCGAAAACCTAATCTTTATAATCGGAAACCGGTGCTTCTTTCGATGTGATATAATAATGAAAATTTGCCGTTACGGAACACGAATGTGATATGGCCCCCAAAGCTGAGACAGTCAATTTCGACCAATCAAAGTGCTTTGGTGACATTCATCATTGTGCCAAGCGGCTAACGCACCTATTAGCGTGCCCCACCGGATAAATTGTAAAGATTAGGTATCTTTAATATAGCAACCCCATACAAAAGGTACATAGACAGAACGTGAGCATGGCTTCGAGTCTCGAACTAACTGGAGAGAAAGTAAGAAATTAATTTATAATCTAAGTCTATCCTAATTAGTCTGTACTAATATTGACACTAGTTATACGATACCTATACGATATAGAAGTGTCAAGAGTACAGAAGCCACATAAACGTTGGATTCAAAAGTTTAACTTACTTTAAACCCTTGGGATATCCTACCACGGTTGATAGCAGTTGATAGAACATGTATCCTTGGATGTATTCGAGACATATTTACAAGGTTAGATGTGTATTCTTGTATATTCCGGCATCTTCTAAGTAATTCTAGCGTTGAGAAAATCGTTGTACTAATGTTGTGTTCATGTATCTTTTGTATGAAGTCGCCATATGAAAGATACCTAATCCTTACAATTTATCCGGTGGGGCACACTAACAGAGTGTATTAGCCACTTTGCACGAGACCTCTTTCCTAGGTAGAAGCTTGGCCCACCTCTGACTCGTGGACGGTCTCCGCGAGAGTAGTGGCGAGTCTAGCCCTTGGATGAAAATAAGTCAATTAGCAAAGGCTTTTATCGAAATATGACCTTTACAGACAAGCAGGACATCGGCCGATGCTTGTTGATTCGCATGTAGCATTGTATGTATATGTAAAGTACATATGTACGAAGACGAGCATTTTCCCGTGTCTCAATCGTTTCGGCCTAAGTAGTAGCTTTATTGTATATCACAAAACCCACATCGGAACATAAACTCTATCGGTCCTTCGGTCCTAACCTAATGGTTTCAAGTTTTGCCTTTTAGCCCTAAGCACGCCACGCTAGCCAGCAGCAATACTTTCGCACTAGAAATTCCCAACCTCAACCTCAGACCATTTACCAATATCCATCATGTGGGAAGAGATGCTCAAGCTCACGCAGGCCGAGGAGTCCAAGGAATTCAAGTTATTCGCGGCGCTCGTCGACGGCGAAGTCGAGGTCGAAGACGCAGTACAATGGGTCATAAACACGACGATGGACAGACTAGAGAACTACGGACCAGGAGGAACAATCGAAAAAGCCGACGCAATAACATTCATAGCTATCATTGAGCTGGCTATGCAAATCGATACAACGCAGTATGGACCCTTGGTCGACTTCCTGTCCGAATTGAAGCTGTACAATGCCGTCGATTCGTCGACTGGTCTCGTCCTAAAAACACAAGATGGAAGCAGGGTCTGGTCACATCTACCCTCGCTCAGTTTCTGGGCGGGTGAATTATGGAATGATCGCGTGACACGTAAGCGTTGGATTTCTGTACTTTTGCTTTTTGCTTCTGTAGCGCTAATGGATTATTTCCTAGACATCTGTGACCCGAATATGGAGCCTGATCAGCAGATCAGATGGGCGAAGCTGAATATCTTTCTCGCGCAAGCGACCCAAGCTGCTGATGTTCAATATACTTCCCCGTTGCAGGTGTGGATCAGCGATGCTATGGACGAATCTCATATGGGACTTTGTGGACTTCGTCATGTGTTCGAAGAGGGCATTCCCCCTGAACAGCTTGCCTCGACGGCTGGTCTGCTCGGCGTGTGCTACTGGATTATTTGTGCTGGCGATAGATTGTGGGAAAAATGTACTCAACCGCCGCAGATACAACAAGTATGATGGTCGGCCTGGGGAAATGTATTCAAAACGCGGTTGGAAGGGTTTTGAGCGCGACAGGTGGGATGTATGGGTGCAAGGGCTTCGTGATGTGAAGGCTGCTTGTACATCTGGTCAGGAACTCGTGGAAGACTTGATAGCCCGTGCTCTGTCCAAAATAGAGCATGTAATGAACAATGAAACGACATCCAGCTAAGCTTTTTCGATACTTTTAACATCTAATAGAGAGTTCTGGGAATTCCTTGGAATAAATGGTGGGGTTCTCTGCGCCCGGCAATGATTTGCGGCTGATCATACCCTAAGTAGGTGCAGAGAGGCACGAGAGCCTTGGAGCTTGGACGGATCCGTAGATAAACTCTTTGGTCCAATATCTATCGGAATTATGACAAGGGTAGAGAGGAAAATTAATGTGTATTCTCTAGAAACGATTGAGGTTAGCTAAATAGCTAGTTGGGACCTAGTAAACAATGCATCTACAATCTACCAGGTAGAATCAGTCTACTAGTCGAAAATATACATTTGAACTAAATACACACCGATTCTAAAACCTCACAGAGGGTAATGATTTAGAGCTCAACTCAAACCGTATATATAGAAAGATAACGCCAAACCCCCGGAGCCTCAATCACATAACATACTCAGAACAGGTAACCTACCATGAGAATGTCTCCTCAAACAGATCAACCGTCTTCTCCCCTTGTACATTCCTAACAGCCTCCCGCACACTATCGCCCAGGCCACCAGGACCACAGACGCTAACTGCCATCGCACCGATCTGATCTGCCTTCTCTTTTTCTAGCACGGACTGGATACACGGCTTGCCGTGGTGGATGCTAACCGGTACGCTTGGCGGAGCGCATTGCATCCACAGCAAATCCGGTTGGGGTACGTATTCCTCGACCGTGTCTTTATGCGATGTGACGTGAAGGCTGATGGAGAGGAGAAGTCGTGGGAATTGGAAGTATGAGTGCCCGTTCCGGTTTACGGGGCTAGCTAGGGATTCGTGGCCTAGTATTTCGGCCATGAATGTTTGGATCCAGGTGAGGTGGTCTTTCCGTATGTTAGTCGTCAAGTATATAATTATCGCAGGTGGGGTGATCATACCTAGACTGCGGACGATCCAGACCAGATGCACCTTGCGAGTAGCGGTCTTTTGCTCGGTGAAGGTGGCGATAACCTCATTCAAATATGACATTGGGTGGGTAATGCCGATTCCACCAGCTATCAGTAGTAAAGTACCATATGAGCCGAGAGAATGGATACCACCTGTGAGACGTTAGCAATATGTTTCACATGACCAATGATGAATGTCCAAGGTACGGATTCCATACCAAATGGCCCCTCCGCCAATGCCATAGCCTGAATACGTCCTTCTGGGGAGTCCTCCGCCTTCCGGAGCAATTTTTTCGTGAATCCGTCTTGGCCCTTGATCAGGACGGACATGGTTGTAGTCGGCGAGCCTCCGGTGAGAGCATCCGAAGAATCACCCGAGCCACGCTTTTCGTTCACATCCAACGACTCCGATGTCGACGACCACGCAACCGTGAAGGGATGTGATGTCCACAAGCCCAGACACGGCATATAGAGGTACATATACTGACCAGGACGGAAGCGCCATGCGCGAGCCACGGCCACGTCGACGCGAGCAACAGACCCAGACAGAACCTCGACTGTGGCAGTTGTGGGTCTTGAGCTAAGGTTTCGCCAGAGTAGTATTGCAAGTCGACCTGCACGATCGATGCCCCAGAGGATCAAGGTCCCAAGAAGCACGCGCTGTTGCAGCAGGTTTTGCAGGTGATACCAAAGCGCAACGAAGGAAAATATAGCCAGGGCTATGTGTAGGTGAAGGAATAGTTCGTAAAATGAATGTCGGGCCGGCGACAGAGATTGAATGAAAATGCAAATGAATCCAAGAATGGCCTATGGAGATATATGTTAGATGACTATCTGAAAAGCTGGCGAGCTGCATCACATACCAGAAGACCACATAAAAAAAGCTTCTGTTGCCACATAACATATAGAATATAGTCCGTGCCATCTAAGTCAGAAGATTCGATATTAGTGAATGATCGCACCATATATGGCCAGGCCACTCACATAGATAAGCCTGGTCGGCCAGCACGGCGCTCATGTGAATGACCGCGTTGGCTGTGATCACACGTCCCACCCAACGATGCATAAAATTGAACGTATCGAACGAAATACCCAACAGTTGGACCAACGGATTGTTTCGTCCTGCGCCTAGGACCAAGCCAGGCGTATTCATGACTGCCAGATGGCCTGCCGAGTATTTGAGCTGGAACATCTTCTCCGAATAATCACTGAGCCACCAATCGACCGTCACGATAATGAAAATGATGTTCAAGCTGAGGTAGAGCAACAAGCAAATCACTTCCAGTCGTAGCGGTAGAGACCCCATATGAAGCCTGAAGACCCGGAACTCGCGGCTATGGCGATTGCCCCATATCGGGGCATATAGCAAATGTTTTTTCAGGGCCGCGTTGACGCGATTTGTCCGGCACAACTGCGTCTGGTCGGTCCCTTGCCGTGCCACCTTTGATCGTCGACGATGTCGGATACGAATGACGGTTTGCCAGAAAAATAAAAATATCACCAGTCCGCCGACAACGAATAGAGGGACCGCAATCGTCGGGTTCATAGGCGGCTCCCCCGGGCCATTCGATTCGAGTTCGACACCCATCGTGCCATTCAACAGGCAAGGGGAGCTCGAGCTGCAGATCCACTAGGTATGCAGACCGTCGACCACAATGAACATAGATTATCCAACCCTCGAAGGATTCGAGACCGAGGAAGGGCGAGAACACAATAATTGGACGGAACAATGTTGTTAAAGGTACTGAGGTCGCGTGGAAAAGAAGTAAGACGTGGGCATCATTGGCGTTGTATTAATTTCCAGCCATAGACATATGCCGTCATTGACCGCTGCAGGTCCCGCAAGTTTATTCTTTTTTTTTTTGCAGAACCCGCCCTCACGTTTACACGGCAGTAGGCAATTGTGTCTCACATGGCCAGTGTAACGTCGAATCGAGATGGATCTTGCTTGGCATGCTAAGTTTATTTCGAGTGGGGATGATCCGCTCGGCTGAGTGGTGAAGACGACCAAATCTCTGGGAATTTGCCCTGTCATGACCAAATCGAAGGGCATGTGGACCTCAGAATTATGTGGCGGGCTGTGGCACCTTTGCAGGCTTAGGGGTTCTGGAAGGGATCGCCCTATAGACGGAGCCCTTGTTCGGCAACCCGAAAACGGAATGTTGATACCTGCTGCCACTCGGCATTCTTCGTGCCCCAATCGGTCATGCGATAGGAACCAAGAGATGTAAAAATTAAAGAATACCATTTTGGTTCCTGGATTAGGCCGATTTTGCTCGATATCTGCAAAGCAATTGTCAGAACCCTCGTTATCAAGACGCTTAACGTGGATTCGAGCCTCAGATACTCGGTCCAATGGGATGCAACTGCAACATTAGAGACAATGGTCAAGTCCAATGTGGAAACTGTAGCGTAGCAATCTTAAAACCTTGTATATATGACGCCATAGTACACTGTAGTAAGAGTTGGAGGCGCAAAGGCTTCAGAATTGGCTGAGAAATTCTAGGTAGGGTCCGTGTGTATAGAATGACACTGAAGGGACACAATTACCAAACGACTTCCCTTGGCCTTTTTACTTCAGGCCAACGAGACCCGTGAGCTGAGTGTCTTGCAAGCATCGCTAATCATTTCGCTTCACAGACTGCCCGAAACGGAGTGAGAGTCGTAGCGGGGCTGATGCCTTGAACTTGATGGACAGCGAAAGTGGCGAGACAATTCAAGACTGGCCGCAGGGAAACCGAGAATGTCACGATGGGAAAGATAAAGCTGAAATATTTGTATATGGTATGGTGACTACAGGTCAGGAGGTCCATGAGTCGCCAGCGAGTTTCAATAGTGGTCTGAGCTTCCCAAAAGAAAATCGATGCCTTAATTTTTACATTACCTTACAACAGGTTCTTTGCATACAGCATACTATGTACATAATGGTACTGCGCCCAGTCCGAGTTTGAACTCCATCTGAATCCCCTAACGTGACTATACTAATTATCTATTGAAACATTGAAACATTTGAATGAGCCGAAGCTCAAAGCCGAAAGGCGAATCTGAGTGCTTCTGTTGCATCCCGAGGGGCCTAGATTGTTCCATACATTAATACCACCTGGGCACGTCAATACCTACTAAAACAGGATGATATAATAGAACACATAGATTATTTCAAGACCAAAACGGTATTATTTCACCGGAAACAACTTGAAGAATCCCAGCACGGACCATGTCCCATTCTCACTGCGTGACCTCGATGGGTGACTCTGGTGTCGACAGATCAGCCCTGGAGTTTTCAAGTATGTGAATTGATTGTATTTATGATGATGCCATTCTAATGGGCGCTAGGCCCTGTACAAACGCTATTCCTGATACCATTCCATTTCCCTCTCTTTTCACGACCAAAGGTTTCTTGACCATAACCAAACTAGAAATACAAAAGCCGAAAACGCCGTCATTATTGTGTTTGCATAAGTGGTAACCGTGCTGGGAACATTGTGGAACTCAGCCAGGTACCTCCTGCACATTGGGGAGGACATGGGGTGCTGGCTGTTCATCTTCCTCGATAGAGAGGCTGCCATAACCAGTGTCGTTGCTAGCTGATCGTTCCCGACGGAGAAACGGTCTTTGCGCAGGATAATCGACTAGGTCTTGATCGGCATCGCTTTGGGATGACTGGGATTCCCCCCCTGCGCCGACGGGTCCTGCGTTTCTTAGACAGAGCCCCGTCAGGTGCGGTGTGCACAAAATCATCGACATTGATGCCTGCATCTTGGCAGATTGCTGTGCACGAATTGACAATCACTTCTACAAGAGTAGACGAAAAGCCGTAAAAAGCAGGAGTGTAGGCATTTCGGGCCCAATAGATGAGTTCTGCTGATACCCGCCCGAGATTGGGGATGTCG